CATATTAAAGAATCATTCATCCAATTTATATATATAATTAAAATTTTAAAGAATTTTGTTGATAGTCACACTTTCAAAAATGATACTTAATGAATTAAATATTTTATTAATATTTAGTACACCAAAATTAAAGAAAATAGTATTCTTCCTAAATTAAATTATTTATACTACTACAAATCATACTATTATAATTCTTTTTTATTTCTTTTTTTCATTTTGGATTCTACCTATATTTAGTAATATCTCATGTAAAATTTCTAGTAACATACTAACACCAATCATTCAAATATCTTGTACTACAATCTCAAAAAAAATATTGCAATGCAAAAAAAAAAAAAAAGTGCATTGGATTAATGATGTTAAAATTTTATTTTATTTTTTTATAGGCAACACATATGTTATTAGAGAGAGTTAAAGGAGAACTCAAAACTCATATATACAAAGAAAAAAAACTAATACTTACTCAGGAAAATAAAAAGTAAAAATATATTTATACAAAGTTAAGATGGATACAATTTTGTGGGTTTAAATACTAATTAGCTAACAAAATAACTTTTCCCTTGCTAACAAGTGATAGTCATTTTCAAGACCTCAGAATAATAGAATTTAGGACTTCTCTCTCATCCAAAACACCATTGAAAAACATAATTATATTTCTATGTAACCACAAAGACCATACTGTATTTACTCAAACAATTAATAAACATAACCCTTCTCTTCTACTACAACCAACATCAACCTAAGAAAGCAAGTGAGTTGATAAATTTGAAGACAAAACTAGTGACAATCCAAGCCACTTGCTAATTATTCCCATGTACGACCATACCAACCTTCTTACCAATGTCTAGTAACTTCGACGCCACTACCTCATCTTCATAATCTATAGCAATTATTCGCTCCCCCATCTCCATTGAAGGATCAGAAGGATGCGAGTTGTAAGAGCCCTCAAAAGCAGTAGCCGAGATTTCATCAGCTAGCGATACCTATTTTCTAAGTTGCAACGGCATTGACGCTCTACTGTGATGCCTAAGATTTTTTTTGCGGGGATTCTATGAAAACTGCGCTTTTATATCTCTTCCCTTCTTCATCACCTCGACTACCTTTCATAGAGCGTGCCCTCTGAAGAGATTCACGTACATTGACCATCTCTTTTCCAATACAAACTTTGGATTGAGAGGGGTTGACTTAAGCTGTCCCAATTGTCTCCTTACCCCTTGATTCTGAATTTTTCCAAATCAATGCATCTAATCCAAATGGGTCTGATAAATTTAACCCATCTCTTGCTATTGGAACTCCCATCTCTACATGTTTAGAAGACTTATTTAAATACATAAAATAAATATATTTTTATTTTTTTAAAATAAAATTTGTATTTTTAATTCATTGATCAGTATGTTAATGATATTATTTAATGTTTTTTAAACGAACAATATAAATAAAATAATAACAATGTGAGTTTCACATAATCAAGGCATAAGGTATATAATTCATATAAGGGCACTGCATTCTATGCTAAAAATAAGATATTACAATGTTTCGACGTAACATGTTAAAGTGTTTTCAACCGTATAATATCCCCTACTATAATATGTACAATAATATGTTAAAACGTTTAAAAAATACTTTAGAAAAGTTTGAAGTTCAGACACAAATGCTATATTAAATATATAATTTTACAATACTTATAAGGCAACAAAAGTAATTTTTTCTTAAGAAATATTAAGTAAATATAAATAATTTATCAATAAATTATTTTTAAATATAAATTACTGTATTTATTAAATATTAATAAGTAAAGAGTTAATTTGTAATATACCAATTGATGATAATCACAAATCGTGTCACCGAATTAAACGATCTTAAATTGAATTTCACACAATAAAAATGAAATTATTAGGGCACAAATAGAAATTGAAATAAGAAGAAAATTAATAAAAAGTAGAAATAGAATAGAGATGGAAAATGGCGTCACAATCGCAAGATTGATAAGCCAAGGAACGATCACCACAAGAGTCTTGACCTCTTGATAAGATAAAAAAAACTGGCTCACTCAAGAAGTTAGAGTCACACACTCTCACAAGACTGTTCAATTTCAAATTGTATTCAAAACTAATTAAAAACGTGTGTACAAGAGCTTATATATGCCTAATGCTTATAAACTAATACTAACGCAAACCCTAATAGGCTTCTTGTACCAACAAACCTAAATTCAAATGAACTAAATAAAATAAGACGATTTTATCCTAAACAAAAACTCAAAATAAGTAATGACTAATATTAAAATAAATAACTAAACATAATAATTAAATCTTAAAACTCGTTAGAGTTCAAATCTTCTAAGTATATGTAATTGACCATCTTGAACTTTTTTAACTCTAAATTGAGCTCCCTTTCAAATAAGACAGCAACAATCTTTTCTAAGTCTCCATTTATTCTTTTTGCCCTTGCCCTTATCATTGGCCCTTAAAGTCCTTCCAATGCCTTCAAGTCTTTGTCTTCAATGGGTCTTCTTTGATTCTCATCAAAACTTTTGTTATTAGATTTCGTGTGTATATGCACCATAAATGTATATTACATTCTACTATTATTCCTTTCTCAGTTCTCTTTTGTTATCAAAGGATAAAGTTATTTCCTATTATTATTATTGTTACCATGTTTTATATAAATGAATCGATGAAGCATTTAGCATTTTTCTCCAAGCTTTGGTTGTAATATGTTTTTGTATGGTTATGATGAAACCAAACTCTAGGCTTTGTTTAGATGTCTAATTATACGTGGAATTAAATAGAATTTAGTGAAATGACATGTAATGATATAAAAAAGAATAAAATATGCAATGAGTTGTCCTAACTAATGATATATATTTTTTTATATGCAAAAAGTTAATAGCATAATCATTGTAAAAAAGTGAATTTTGAAAGAAGGAAGAGGAGTCTAAACAAGCAAAATTAAGCACTACTATGATGTTCTTTCATATTGAAAAACCTTTCTTCTTTTTTTGGTTTACTTGCTCATAACAAACAATACTTAAAGAAGCATCATATACTTAAAGAAACACCATATTATAGCATACTTTGAAATATGAGATGTGCTTTTATATTGAATTTACTTTTTACACAAAACATTGTTGTTATGATATGTAAACTTTGATTATTAATGAAATTTGTAAAATTTGACTAATCAAATATGTCATTTCTTTGAAAAAATTTACTATCATTTATTTGAAATAATTGTATGTACATTGTGATTTAAAAATTTTTAGGTACATATATTATTGTCACTAAAAATTATTTTTATTGTCATTAAGTTATAAAAATATTGAATTTTAAAATCGTTGTTGACAATTTTTGGTGTTAATAATGTTAGCAATACATTCTTTTATACATATTCTCTAACACATGTTCTATTATTAATTAATATTTATTAAAAATTACAAAAATTATTAATTTAGGAGTGAAAAAGAGTGAAATTCACGTAATATTAACTTATAATGAAATATATTTGTATAAAAAAGTGTGTTGTTACTTTTTTAGTGCACATATAGAAATTTAGAGATAAAATAACAAAAAAGTGATAAAGTAAAAAAATTTGCTAATAGTGATTTTTTAAAAAATATAAAAAAAAATAAAATTGTTAATAATAATTTTTAAACATAAGAAAATATTTTAAAAGTACCAAGTAGTCACCGGTGAATTTTTTTTTTCAAAATTATATTTCTATAATTTTTCTAAAAAAACATTTTTTTAATTTTAACAAAAAAAGCCACAGGAAAAAAAAAAGCCTCCTAGTGTGTTAGGCAAGGTTTATTACTTGAATGGGATTCGATATATAAATGAGAATATTTTAAAGTTTTAAGTGAAGTGACATGACAAATAAATGGTGAAGAATAATAATAAAATTATTACAAAAAGTTATGATACTTCCAAATAAGACAGCTATATTAATGCTAGAAAGCCAAAAAACGACAACCTAGGTAGCTCCAATATTGTCCAGGAAACGCAATTAATTATTTGTTACATCAAAATCCATGTTCGAATGAGAGAGATTTCCAATATTAAGCATGTCTCCAAAGATGTATTAAATAGCAATATGTCAGCTAAGTCAACATGAAATTGCATTTGTCATAGCCTGCACAAACCGTGGATTTGGGTAAAAAGTCAGTGTATTGCATTAGCCCATAGGATCAAATTGAAGGCACAACAACCATTAGACGACAAAGGCTGAAAGTGAAACGTGTACTGAAAATAAAGTGACATGCGTTTGCGGTGACAAGGATGCAAATTTATATATCAATAAAATATTAGGATTCCCTACAGTTTTATAAGAAATATAATTTATAAATTTAATAAAAAATAATTTTTATTTAAAATAAAAAAATTTGTTTAAGTAAATTAATAAAAATAATTTTTACCTGAGTCAAAAAAATTCATTTAAATCAAAATTATAAATTTTTTTAAACTTTACCATTATTTTTTCTAAATTTCAAAAAAATTAAAAAATATTTATGTAAAATAATGTGATCACAGTTTATGATCATGTCACAAAATTAAGTATTTCAAAATATATAACAATGTATCTTTAGATTAAATCAATTAGCTTTTTGTCATAGGATTAAACCTTGGATAGAAAAATAAAAAAGAAGAAGAAAACAACACTGTTAAACCCACGATTAAAGAGATCCCAACTAAATGGCTTAAGGTTAGGAATAAAAAACGTGGACAAATAATTTAGTGTTTATCGCACCATATTAGTTATCATTGTTACAATACCCACTTTCAATTAATATTAAATAAAGAAAAAAATTAAAGGAAATTTTTAGATATTTTTTATGTTATCTGTTAATTGAAAATAAACTTTTGTCTAATTAATCTGGTAGCCTAAATATTATTTTTTATCATACAAATTATCAAAGTAAAACTCTAATTTTAATTAAAAAAAATATTAAATACCTAAAAAGTTGCATCCACTAATGCATAAATTACTGACACTGGTGCAATGAACTACTTACTGGGATCAACGGTGACAAGCATGGCAATCCCACCAAAATCACAGGTGCCACCGCCAATCTTAGTGTTCTGCCAGTAGCTATTGAAGGCATAAGAAGCATGGGCCAACAAAGTGTTGGGCTGGAAACATAACCCATTGGGCTGAATGGATTTACAATCTGCACCAGACCCACAGGCATAGTCCATGGCCTCTTGAATTATTGGATCAGGAACAGTGGGCTTTGCCACACACCAAAGTGCATATTGTGGTGGCTTTTTACGGTGAGCAGCAGGGGAAGGGGGTGGTGGGAACACAATGGGTGGCAAGTATGCTTGTGGTGGTGGGCTTGCACTTGGCACACTCTTAGGTGGGCTTGGAGCATGCTTTGGTGGGCTTGAACCATAAGGAGGTGGTGGTGGTGGACTAGCAATGCTTCTTGGGCTTGGTGGCCCAAATGCCCCATGGGGTGGTGGATTTGGAACTGGGGAATATGCTGGCAGAGAGGGGTTTCCCCCCATGCTTGGAGGTATCAATGGAGAGTATGGAGAAGGGTTAGAAGTTGAAGGTGTTGGTTGTGGTGCCAGTGAATTGAAAGGTGGTAGGGGTAGAGAAGAAGGAGAGCCATATGAATCAAAGTCTGAGTACTCAAATGCTGAGTACTTGTTCAAACGATTTAGTGATTTTATTTTTAGGTTCTTCAGGGACTTTAATAAGGACCTTCTACGGATTTTGTGACCCTCTATAACTCTTCCATGATTTATTGCATCTGCAAATCAACAGAAAAAAAATAAAATTTTATAGACAAAAAAATTGTTTTTGCACTGACCAAAATGAAGCATTTATGTGTATATTATATGCTTTACCACACACAGGGAAAAGAATGGAAGCCAGCATTGAGATGCAAAGCATTGCTATGCTGAGTCTAAAAATGTAAGCTCTTGAATCCATTGCATTAGCAGCAAAGCCAAAAATAGAGTGAGAGCTCACTAGTTTAGCAGATGAAGAGCAATGGGGTGCAATATAAGTAGGTGTGGCTGCCGTAAAGTGAGAAGCCATGAATAATAAAGTTGATTCTGTTGTCACTTTAATTTTGTTCTTGTCACTTTGTAACATGTAGATAAGAAAAATAGCAATGTGCTCAAAGGGTAAATAGAGTGAGTTCTAGCTTGTTCCCTCGAATATATGCTTACTTGCCCATGCACTTCCGTTTTGCTTGTTTGCCACTCAAAGAACTATATGAGATCTGTGATCATTTATGTGTACGCAATATTTGATGATTAATACTTTATTTGTTTTAGATAAATAGATCACTTAACCTTGAAGCCCACTCTTTTTTGTCCAATTTCAGAATCAGAGTGTCCCCAAAGCCAGAGTTCTAGACCAATCTTTGTTCATAGAATCATAGTTCATGGCTATCGCTTAGTCAAGAGAATTTTGCAAATGGTGTAGTTCGAATGCTGCTAAATAAGACGACCACACACGTATAAATATAAGAGGGCCTTATATCATTGTGATAACCTTTTATGTTTAAACAACACTGATAGGGTCAGACGCAGCACAAGAGTGTCCAAACCAAACCCACATTACATGGGCTAATTTATTAACTAAAGTCTACTGATCATTATATTATCTTATTACTATTTTTATCGTTTATAGTTTCTTTTATTTCGTAAGTGATAGCTCTAGTTAGTTTAGATCCTTACGACCATCTATTTAGGAAAGTTGTTAAGAAGGCTATAATATTTATATTCTTGGCAATCAGCTTTGAAAGGAATAATAAGAAATCAGCAAATTCATTCTTGGTTACTTGCACTTGAAACGTGAGAAACCCATGGTACCTTGAGATCGTATCAATTGGTATCAAAGCCGGTTGCGATCATATCAACACCTTGCTCATACACGTGGCCACCAATACAGAACGGTTTGAGAACTTGGAGAACTCGATAGGAGAACTTCGCGAATCAGTGAAACAGATCTTGGTCACGCTTGCCAACAAAAAAAGCAAAGCGCAAGCACCGTAGGATGCGAAGTGGTACGGATCATCATCCTCATCGTCATCAAGGGGATCGGTGCCCACCGACTCCAACACTGACAATGCGGGTTCTAGATCCAGTTTTTCAATGCACAGTAGGAGGACCAATGGCAGCGATGATGAAAAGAAGAAGCGGACCAGAAATCCACTCCGCTTAGACTTTCCCAAATTTGTTAGGGATGACCCTTGTGTATGGCTGGATAGCGCGACAATACTTTGTTGCCCAAGATGTCCATGGATCACGAAAGGTGGCCATGACATCATTCTATTTAGACGCAGAAGCCAACCAGTGGTGGCGCTAGTTTTCATATGCAAATCATAAGAAGAAGATTACGTGAAAAATGTTTGAAAAGGGGTTGTTACTGCAGTTCAATTCTGCCGAATATGAGAATGCAAACGAAGCAATCAGCAAGCTTCAACAAGTAGGTGCATTCCGTGGATTCTTGGGAGAATTTGAACGGGTGATGAATTGTCTTCCAAACTGGCCTGAAAGTGCATTGATGGGGGCCTTTATGGCTGGGCTAAAGGAAGAATTAGCAGGGGACATACGCTTGCTTAAGCCAAGGACCTTGTAAGCGGCCATTGAACTAGCCAAGAGAAAGGATGAACAACTTCAGTGTTCAAGAAAAAGTATGGTAGGGGGACCACATGCTAACTCAAGGCCAACACCCATAGCAGTGGCATCAACTGCCACAGCGGGTCGTACCAACCATGCACCAAAAAAACTTTCTTGGGCTGAGATGCAACAAAGGCGAGAAAAATACCTTTGCTTCAGTTGCGATGAAAAATTCGTTCCAGGACACTGTTGCAAGAAATAATCACTTCTCATTGAATTGTGCACAAAAGATAAGGGCAGTGATGGCGAGTTAGAAAGCAACGCTGATGTTAAGGAGCATTTGGTGTCATTAAATGCACTAGTCGGAGGATCAAGCGGCAAGACATTACGAGTCAGTGGGCTGTTGCAACAACAACAAGTGTTCGCATTGGTGGACAGGTCAAGCTTGAACTTTATAAACCCACACTTGGTACAACAACTACGTCTACCAGTCGCTTGCATCAAACCTTTTACAGTAAAGGTTGCCAGTGGTGAGAGGCTGGAAGAGAGAAATATGAAGCAACGCCCTTCGCCATTCAAGGCCACACCTTTCACATGACTTTTTATGCCCTTCTGATCAGGGGATTAGACATCGTTTTTGGAATCCCTTGGCTAGTTAGTCTAGGGCTAGTTACAACAGACTATCAACACCTTACAATGACTTTTCGCTTAGGAGAAAAGGAGTTCTGTTTGACAGGACTTAACCAGAAGGAAGTTGAGGCAACCAGCCTTGATGTTGTGGTTCAGTAATGGAACCAAGGGGCAGAACTATTTTGTCTAATGGTTTGCGGGGAGGAACATCAGATGGCCGTATTACTAGAGAATCAACAAAGCAATATGAAGAAACTCTTAGATGAGTTTAGTGATGTGATGGAAGAACCGAAGGGACAACAACCAAGTCGAGTGTTTGATCATCGAATTCGACTGATCGATGGGACTAAAGCAGTTAATGTGGCACCATACCGATATGCCCACTTTCAAAAGAATGAAATTGAGAAGCAGGTGAATGAAATGTTAAGCTTAGGCCTCATCCGCCCAAGCATAAGCCCTTTTCCTCGCTCGTGCTTTTGGTTTTGGTAAAGAAAAAAGATGGAACGTGGAGGTTTTGTACAAATTATCAAGCACTGAACACAATAACAATAAATGATCGTTTTTCAATCCCCATAGTTAACGATATGCTAGATGAGTTATTCAGGTCAACTTATTTCAGTAAGCTAGATTTGCTCCGGTTACCATCAGATATGCTTTCATCCTAAAGATGTGCACAAGACTGCCTTTCGTGCCCATAATGGTCACTATGAATATCTTGTGATGTCATTTGGATTGTGCAACACTCCATCCACCTTCCAAGTTGCATTGAATGACATTTTTCGACTGCATTTGCAAAAATTTATTTTAATTTTTTTTTTTATGATATCTTGGTGTATACCACATGGGAGAAGTTTTTTTTTTTTTTAAATGATATCTTGGTGTATATCACATGGGAGGCCCATTTGGAACATCTAAGATTAACGCTCTTAATTCTACGCAATCATCAATTCTTTGTTAAACTTACTAAATATCACTTCGGGAAGAAAGAGATAGAATATTTGAGGTATTTTATCTCAAAGGAAGGCATGCGAATTGACCTGAGAAAAGTTGAAGCCATGGTACCCAAGCCCAGACCAAAAACCATAACCTCACTTAGAGAATTTTTTAGCCTAACAGGGTACTGCCATAAGTTTGTATAGAATTATGGGGTAATTGCTAGACCACTCACTCAATTGTTAAAAAGGGGATGCTGTGGTTGGAGGGAGAATGAAGAACAAGCCTTTGAAGCCTTGAAAACAACCATGACATCTACACTAGTCTTAGCACTACCAAACTTTTCTGAAGACTTCGTGATTGAGACGGATGCCTCAGGCAATGGTGTTGGAGCAGTCCTATCGTAAAACGGACGACCAATAGCCTACCTGAGCAAGGCAATCAGTGACAAGAAAAAGGCTTGGTCAACTTACGAAAAAGAAATGCTTGCAATGTTGGAGGCTATAAGAGCATGGCGACAGTATCTATTGGGTTGCAAATTTCAAATCCGCACAAATAAGAAGAGCCTTCGTCACCTTCTTGAGCAAAGGATTACGACTCCTGAGCAACAAAAGTGGCTAACAAAGTTGATCGGGTTTGATTATGAGATAGTGTACAAACTAGAAAAAATAAATAAGGCGGCTGATGCATTATCTTGATATGGACAAACTATGACCGCAGCAGAGTTGGCTGCTATATCTCAGCCAATTTGGGATTATGGGAGGAAATAGTCCATGCTACTGTAGGGGATGTTCCTTGGTTGAAATAGTGAGACAGTTGCAAGAGATTACGCATCCAGGAGACAAATATCGATTAAGGAATAGATGTTTTTGACTTGATGGAAAAATTATTGTGCCAAACGACTCGGAGTTATGAGAGAAGCTCTTGCATGAGTTCCATTGTTCACCATCAGCAGGGCACTCAAGAATTGTAAGAACGCTTAAGCGAATTTCACACTCTTTTTCTTGGACAAGCATGAAAGCAGACGTTCGTCGTTATGTTCGTCAATGTGACACCTGTCAACGTAACATGGTTGAAAATCATGTGTCCGCTGGTCTATTAGAACCACTACCTATACCAGAGGTGGTGTGGACTAATAACTCTATGAATTTCATAGAAGTCTTACCTAAGTCCAAAGGAAAGGATACAATTCTGGTGGTTGTAGACAGGTTGAGTAAATCAGTGCCTTGAGCAATACCTAAAATGTTTTGTATTCCTACAACCCTGATAGTGGAAACCGTATTTGACCTGAGTAGAATTCTGTTACAACACTTCATACCATCAGTCCATTGGAATGTCTCCTTTTGAAGCTGTTTATGGTAGGCCTCCTCTAACTTTGGTGCATTACGCACCAGGGTCAGCCTTGGTTCATGAGATAGATCAAACATTATGCACAAGGGATACAATAATTCATGAACTTAAGGACCATCTTGCTACTGCAAAGAATAAGATGAAGCAATTAGCAGATAAACATCGTTGAGAGGAGGTTTTTAAGGTTGGGGATTGGGTATATCTAAAGTTACAGCCATATAGACAGCACTCGATTTTCAAATGAGTACACCAAAAGCTTGCGAGTAAGTACTTTGGGCCATTTTAGATTGTTGATCGGGTTGGTCGAGTTGCCTATCGATTACACTTGCCTGAAATTGCAAAAATTCATCCAGTTTTCCATGTGTCCTTGTTGGGTCAGAAAATTGGGGACCAAGCCGTTATCCAACCTACCTTACCACCATACGAAGCAGAGGGAAACCCAATTATTGATCCAGAAAGGATCTGGATTATAGTTGGGTTGTAGGAAGCAATGGACCTAATCAAGAGGCACTGGTTCACTGGCGGGCACTTCTAGTTGAGGATGCCTCGTGGGAATCTGTACAAGTGTTGCAGTAGCATTATCCCAACCTACACCTTGAGGTCAAGGTGCCTCTTCAAGGGAGAGGGAATGATAGGGACAGACGAGCACAAGGGTGTCCAAACCAAATCCACGTTACATGGGCCAATTTATTAACTAAAGTCTACTGATTATTATATTATCTTATTACTGTTTTTATCCTTTATAGTTTCTTTTATTTCATAAGTGATAGCTCTAAGCTAATTTAGATCCTTATTTTTTGGTCATTTATTTAGGAAAGTTAGTTTGAATGATAAATGACTTGATATCTTCTTAAGTAAAATCTTGAGTTTGAGTATATAAAAAATCTCTCATGCTAGACTCATCCTCTACATTTAAGTGTCTAACATCGGTCAAATTTAGGTTACATCATTCATGGTGATCTTCACTCCCATACTAACCCAATAACTAGCTTCTTGCAAATAACAAACTCCAACACCATTGCGTTTTCTAGATCTGCGAAAATGTCATCACCGTTATGAGAGTTAAAGGTTCTATGTTTGTGTCAACGGCATTATTGATTATTGTTTGAAGTTTCAACATCACCGTTGTTTGAAGGTTATGTGTTTGTGTGAGTGTGTGCGTGTGTTGGAGAGAGAGAGGAGGTGATGTGGGTAGCTAGCAATGTCGTGTATTGGAGGGGAGAACGTTGAGATGAGTGCAACAATAATAATGCAAAATTGGTGAAATTAGTCCTTGATGAAATTTGAGGGTTTATTCAATATTAATGTGTAACAGTTTTATAAACTCGTTTTTAGCACAAGTCTTAGAAAACTCTCAAAATTTCAATTTAAGTAGTTCTCAACATTCTAAGTTGAATTATGCATTACAAAATTTTGAAATTCAATTTAATTTTGAAGATATAAATTACTCAAAGACGTAAATAGATAGCAGAAAAATAAGGTATAGTAAACTGACCAAAGACGTAAATAGACATCCCTGTTGAACCTCTTTCTCATTTTTTTTTTAATGTTTTTATTTAAATGATTATTGAACTAATTAATATTTTTTTTCAAAAGATATAGTAAACTGACCAAGTTAAATCACAAATACATCTGTCTATAAATAATTGGCTTAACTTGATAATCCCTCTAGTTGAAGATAAGCATGACTTTAGTGTTTTAAACTTTTTTAAAGTTAAGTTCCATATTATTTAAATTGGGTAAATTTAATCTCTAAGTGATTTTTCTTTTCTTCAAACACTCAATTATTTATTTATTTATTTAAAAAATTTATTTTAGGTGAAGTATGATACTTCGGTTGATCAATTTTCACCGAATGGCAAATTTAATAAATTTAATTTGTAAGGACTTAACTAGTTATATATATATATATATATATATATATATATATATTATTAAGAAAACTTAACTAATTAAAAAAAAAATAAAGGACAAAAAAATAAAAATAAAAAGCAATTAAGCTTGCATAACTTTCTTTTGCATTGTTTTGCCTCAAAAGGAAAAGACTTACTATTAAAGTTTTAAAAAAAACTTGATTTTTAATAGAAATTAATCTAAATACATTATCATCGTCATATCAGCAATTTTCTTTTGTAACACCTAATATAAAAATATATCTATAGAGTATTTCAGTCTGGTTGACAGTATAAAAATATATTAAAATTAATATCTTTTAAAAGTAAAAATTTATTTATGTTTCTCAGAAGAATAACAAACAGCTTTGAAATTGTGAGCATAACACTTTCTAATTAAAAATAAAAACAGAAAAGGTTATGTACATGAAACATGAAATATAAGGCAAAAGCATAACTTTTATATAAAAGTAAAATTATGTATGCAATATGATATTAGTATGTGTTTAGTTCAATTATTGTAAATAATTATTTTTATTAGATAATTTAAGAAAAATAAGTAATTATCTTTAAATTAATCTATTACTAAACATAAACTATTTCAAATATTTTATAATTTATATTCTATTTTTTAATAAAGAACGGTAATAGTATACTTTTTAATATATATTTTTAACACACTTTTAATTGTTGCCTAAAATTTATTAAACATTGTAAAAAATATGTGAATCTTTTTTTTTAACTTCTAAATTAAATTTTCTATATTGTTGTAATTTTAATAAATTTTAAGTAATAATTAAAAATGTTTTACTTGAAAATAAGGTTTTCACGGTGTTTTGGGGGATTCGTAGACATAACCTTCGCTGTGAATTATTTCAAAGATCAGATCTATTTTTTTACTGAAATAAATTTTATAGCGCAAAAAAATAGTTTACGAAATATATTGTCAAATTTTTCATGTTTAGTTTAATTATATAAAAAAAGTTTTGTTTTTCAAAACAAATTAAGTCAAACGTGCAAGTCTTTTATGTTATTATTACATTAATTATTTTATAGGTTTTGTTAATTAACTTAAATATTTATAAATAATTTTTTATAAAAAATACATAATTTTTAAAGTTATAAAAATATAATAAATATTTTTTTTAACGCAACCCTTATTTTATTAAAATTGTAGGAGTGTGCAAGTAGGTGAAAACAACGAACATAACGTGAATATTGATTTTCGGAGAAGACAGACATTACCACTTACAACGGCTACTTTCTGTGTCGTTGTTTTTCTCTCTCATCCTTTTCTGCTTACAAGGCAACGCCAGCATTACAAAGTCCACAACTTTCAAAGTGCTAAATGTAAACAAAGGGGAGAGAGAGAGAGACAAAGCAAATACCCATTTTGATTTGGCAATGGAATATCAAAGAGAATCAGAGAAACAACAGTTAGAGGAAGAAGAAGAAGAGCAAGCACTAGTGTTAAGGACAACAAAAGTGGTGGAGTATTTGGAGCCATTCATGTCACTTGAACTTCTATGCAAGTTCCCAGATAACTCTGCCTTTGACTTTGACTACTCTCAGAGCACAATCTGGTCCCCTTTAGTTCCCAGACCCTACAGTCCCATGGATTTGGACCTCATAACTCCAAAGAAGCTTTCCTATGACATGGGTTTTGGAGCAAAGTGCAGTGTCAAGAAGGTGGGTTCTAAGCTTAGGAAGAAGTTCACTGCCACTGCTTTAAATCTCAACGTTGATTCCATCAGAAAACATACCAAGAGCAAAAATAAGAAGGTGGCTTCTGACTTCTCCCCCACACCTTTTAAAGGTGCATGTAACCCCATCTTCAGGAAGGTAATTTTTTTGTGTTGCATGCTTTTTTTTGGTTTATGCTTGTAATTCTTCCCATCTAGATTCTTGGTACCTTTATGTTTTTTGTTCTGTTTTATGAAGGTTAAGATTTGAGAAACATTCTGGATATCTGAAATTTGTGACAATTTTTTTTTTAACACAATTGAAAGCTTCTTTTCTTACAACAATGGCATTGGAAGGGGCAAGAGTGTCACTGAAATTCTTTATGAAAAATATTTTTATCATTAACATTTACAAGGGGAAAAAATTATTTTTGAATGAAAGTGCTAATAGATATTTGGAATGACCGGTACTGTACACACCTTGATTCTATTCTATCTGGGTTTCTAGTATCTTTATTTTCTGTTCTGCATTTTATGGAAGTTGAATTTTTTTTATTAGAAATATGAATACGGGTGTTGAGTAAACATCTTTTACAATGGAATTGCAAAAATTATATTAACTTTATTTTAAATTTTATGTGCATGTTCACTCTAAAATTGATAGGATGTTATAATAACCTGTGTTTTACTATTTGATTTTGATTCAGCATTGGGCAAAAGCACTGAAAGCTGCCTCGAAACAGTTCAAGAGATGGAAGGTGAAGAGAGACCCCATTGCCCATGTGAAGCTACCCAAGTCTATCAAAGATGGAGACTTTTAAATATTTGTGGATTTGACTTTTCTATTATTTTTTGTGATATTGGGATTCATTCAATCACTACATTTTCTTCGTTTATCACATCTCTTGCTATGTTTATTAGTGAATTTTATTGAAATCGCATACATGAATGTAACTTTGTAGCAATGCCCTTTTATAATTATAAGCATTTTTCCGAACATCAAAGTTAAGGAACGTACATTCAGAACGCTTCTAAAAGTGCATTGCAGTTATATGTTTGGAATGAGAATAGTTTATTTTATAATTATTTTATTTACATATTTATGAGTGATACGATATATATTAACTAAAGTTAGCCGTTATATGAAATGAAAGTCTAAAAAATATCTATTCTTTTATCTACATTGCTTTCTCCACGTCAATAAATATCTGAATTTAGAGAACCATAGAATATCCTCCGGCTTTAAACCAAGAAGCGAGAGTCTTTTGACCTGCTGCACAATAATGAAAAGATGTTAACGATGATTTATGTTATGATGATTAAAAGGATTGTCCACAACCATAGCAAGTAAAGAGGCTTCTGAATGCCCTCGGAAAAAAGCTTCTTCTCTAAATTATCATGGGCTGGACGAATCAGAAGACCATTCGGTAACCGGTAACAAGATAGAAACTTTGGTTTCCCAAAGAAGTTGTAACGCCACCTATGTGACCATCCCTCATCTGGTTTGACTATCAACTTATCCTTAAATTGCACCCACTCAGCAAGGTGCAGTATCTTTGAAGTTCCCAGAGAGAGATTCACCTTCGTCGGGAAACGTGCTTATCCCTGGTCACATAAAATGGGGGTCTAGTCCTCTTAAAGTCCTCGATCAATTCTGAAATTTTTTTTTTAAGTAATTATTAACTTTTCATTTATAAAACTTTTAATTAATATATAATAAATATTTTTTAATTTATTTTTAAAAAAATAATTAAATAATAAAAAAAATTGAATTATTTTTTATTTTTTATTTAATTGCTATTTTTTTTACTCTAATTTGCTTTAATTAAATAATAAAAAATAATTAAATAATAAATATTTGCTTTAATTTGTATTTTTTTACTAACAACCTTGAAGTAAAAGTGAGAGCAAAATAAAATCTTATATTTTTCTAACGCATAAATATTGCTACGAAACTTTTTATTTTTTTAATGCAAAGACAACACTGATATAAGAGTCTTTCTTTATTATTCAACTTCCATTACCCACACCTACTATTAAATAGTATTTAGTAATTTCTTTTCAAAGTTGTCACTTTTAAAAATGTAGAAATTACAAGTGTCAAATTTATTTTCATGACAATAAGATTTTATTATTTTAATTTAGTCTTGTTTTAAATAAATTTTAAATAATATTATAATAATTATAAATAAAAGTTTGAAAAATAAATTTTAAATAAAATTATAATAATTTTAAAAAAATGATTTTAAAATGTCACTCATATAAAAAATGTTAAGGGCAGTATCAAGAAAGCCAGTCCATAAAGACCCACTAGCCACCATTCCATCAATACAGAACATGCCACCATATGCAAGGAGTAATTTCTCTTCACGTGCTATGGCTGAAAACAAGATAAAATGACATCAATAACAAATCAAACATCTTCAGCTGAGCGTTAGCGATCAAATTTCTTCCAATCGAGTTCAGCAACTTTAGCCCTCAGCACTTCATCCCAAAGGGATAACCAATCGGATGAAGCACGGACAACAGTGTTTCTGAACCCAGAAAGGCGATCAAAGCCATGACTTTACAAAACATGTGTCAATGCATTGTAAAGTGGAGACGAGGCCACCTGCTCCAATGCATCGAGCATGACAACACAACGACCAATGGATTTTCCTTCGCGAAGCTTAGAAAAAGCATTATCAAAACTAACTAATTTAGAACGAAAACCAACAATTCCAGCAAAATCATTATAGAAGGTCCACATAAAGTCAGATAGAAAGGCAGACAAGCCGCCTTTGCGTTTACAATTAAAAGAAAATAAAAAAAGACTAGAAGTAGCTTCTTCATTAAAATTCTTCATCAAACAGGCCTTCCAGGTAAGTCAGTCCTAGCATAAGCAAAACAGCCCCCACCACAATGCATAGCACTATCCACTTTCCAATTTATCATTTCCCTACCACCAATAACCTTAAGTACGCGCGCCTCCCACAAACTCCTAGCGACGGGAATGGACCGTTCGTCGTGGCCGACCAGAAGGACGTGAACCTCTGGTAGCATGTTGTGCAGCATCAGGTCCGGACTGAACAGCTTCTTCTCCATCACCCTGGACAATGTCGGCTTCGGCTTCATTGCCACCACCCGCTTGTGCTTCATCAGCGACTGGTACAATAGGGATGTCAACCGAACCGAAGATTTCCTCTTCACCCCTGGGTTCAATGGTCCTACGGGCACCTTTTCCCCCAGCTCCCTCCTGACCTGCAACCGGAACTTGTACAGCCACCTCGAGACCACATGCTTCCATGAGGCCTCGAAAACGCTTTGCTCTACGAGAATCAAACCTGTCTTCAAAGAAACCAATCTGGCTGTTTGCAAACTGGGCTAATGCTCTCTTGTTATCATCATAACCAAGGTGATTAATGATACGATGCCTTGTGACTTCAGCACCAAAGGTCTGGACAGCATCAATAAGGTTCTCCCTGTTGAGAGGAGCTGCGGTAACATCGGAAGAAGCACAATGACTGACATAGGCAACCCAACATGCACGGTTGAAATCTGAAACATCTTGATCAATAAAAGTTCCAGCTGGAAGGTACTTCAGGCGAATCATCTCAATGCCATTATCGCGATTAACACGCAGCTGCTTAAGACGAACCTCGTGCTCAGCAATCTCAGAATCTTTCTCGCTTTTGAAATCAGCCTGTTCATTGGCCATAACAACTCTCTGAGCTTCAACGAGAGCAACAAGCCCCATCTCCTCAGAAGAAAGCTGCCCAGAACCCCTCTTGGCAAGTTTCTCTTTAAGACTAAGGCTAGCCATCGCTGCTTGACCCTCTTTAGACTCCAGAAACTTCAGAAAAGCATAGAACTGGGTAGGATGACAAGACGTGACACTCTCAAAGAACCTGTTGCTGACGCCAAGCATGCAGACTTTCTCCAGACGAACTTCATCCTGAAAATCACCGAGCACACGGAGAGCCGAAGCAAAAACAGAATCTGTAAACCCACTGGCAAGGTAGCTTGATTCAACAAAGATACCAGCTCGAAACCCGAGATGGCTGAGAACCCTTCTAGCTGAAAGGATGAAGCCAGAATCATCAGAAACTGTTGGTGGAAGGAGTTGGGAAGGCCTCAGAATGTTGGAAGAAGAACCTGCCATAACGAAAAGAAACCTCACGGGGAGTTAGCTGACCCACAAATGATATAAATACTGCAGTTGCATTAACTTTACTTGGGTAATAGCATATTTCTAGACGAGTCTTTGAAAAAAAAAAGAATTAGTTTATTTTAGTAATTACTTTCAACTAATTCCAATTCTTTTACCTATTAACATTTTAGAAGATTTCACAAAACCTTTATTACTTAGTTTTTAGCTTTTTGAAAATATATTAGATGATGAATTAGTAGTTATTATTATTATTATTTTAGTATTTTTAGTAATTTATATATCTGTCATGTTTTTTAAATTATTTACAAACGATATTTAAGTTCTTTTTTTTGCTATTTTTAGTTGCGGCTTATATAGGTAAATCTATATAAGGCCATCATTGATTAGGACGAATGACTCTTTTCAATTGAAAGATTCCCTATATCAATAATACACATTTCAGTTGACCGGGTTTAATTTTAATTATTTTGTTCTGAAACAAAAAAATTCATGCAGTTCATTATATTCAGATATTTATGATCAAGAAGTATTAAATTCTCTTTTTTTTGGATAGGTCCTAAAAGAAGAATGAAGGTTTGAAGGCTAACAGATATCTACCGGACCCAAGAGTACAATATCTATTTTGGGAACGTCCATCACCAAAGTCATTGAATGGATAAGTAGTCAATCCTTAAAATGAACTATGTAATGTGCTTTATCTGTTGGGCTACGGGTGGACATTTTATTATTAGAGGTTTTTATTGTATCAATCTACTCTTGCGTGATTCTTCTTGAAACATATACTCGAGAGCTGTAGGGCAGACAATTTTAAAACAGACTCTCCATTCATTAGATAGAAAAGACCACTAAAATTTTGTAATTGATTGCTGAACTTATTCTAATTCGATAAGAGAGCTCAATATTATACCTTGATTTAAAGTAGAATACATACTTTAGCTATTGCAGACGCAATTTTGTCTTTGCACTGCACCCTCTCACCATTTTAATTGTAAGTACACGACAAGATTATGAAAAAAAATTTGTTTTGAAGTCATTTATCATGAATCATCCATAACACCATAATACTAAACCTCTCTTCACTACTAATATGCTTGCATAATCTTCTTATGAAGAGTTACAGTACAAAAAATCGAATCAATCCTTATAGTTCTTTGAGAACTATTTATAATAATTTATTTATGTTTATATTTATATAAATATAAAATTAAATACAGATTTATTATTATGTATTTATAAAAAAAATTATAAATTTTATGATTATTAACCTACTTATTACTCTATGTATTTATAACAAAATTTATAATTATTAAATTTGAAAAGTTTGAAGTCATTTTTAATATGTTGTACATATTCATTACTTTATGTATTTATAATAAAATTTATTATTCTTAAGATTCAAAATTTAAAGTTACTTTTATATATAAATAATAAATATAAATATTATTTTATATATTTATAATAAAATCTATAATTATTAAGATTTAAAATATTTAAAGTCACTATAAAATATATTACATAAACAAATTTACTGTAAATTATATTAAATTAAAATTTATTAAAATTAATTATAAAAGTTAATTTTAATAAATTTTTGGAATGAGTATAGTTTATTTATGAAATATAATAGAAATTAGGGATGGAAATATTTTATCATCATTGTTGTTGTGGACTCTACCAAGTTTTGTATGTGTGAGGCTTCTACCGAAATAATTCAATAGTAAGTTGGATTACCTGTTGAATTGTACGATACTTCATAGATATTTTCAATGAAAGTTTGATTTCTGTGTGAGCTCGTGATTTGGCAAAGGTAATTGGATTGTGTGCATTGATGAATTTACTTTCTTTTAACGTAAAAAATAAGTTTAAAGGTATACAGAATGAACAGTTCAAAGACTCATGAAAAGTGGACAAACAATAATACATTAGTAAACCTCTTTTCATTAGTCTTTCAAACCTTCAGATCAAAGGAAAATTCAGCAATAATGAATTTTTCTTTCCAATTTTATTTTAAAAATAAGAAAATGTTAAAATATATTTGTATAATTTTTTATTTATTCTATATGTTGTGGCCAGCCATAACTAACCCATGAAGAGTGAGATAAAGGAAAGCTAAATGAATATACTTGACCCTTGAAATGGTATCTTGCAACACATTCTTCAGAAATTGCATGGTCCATCCAAGGCTCAGAAAAATCACCGAGATAAACAAGATAGTTAATTTGGTTATGTTTTGAATAACTCTAGCTCCTCAAATTCCACACACAAGAAAACAACAATAAAATATATCAATTAGGTCTCAAGTTTGTGTAGGTAACCAAACTCCAATAATAAATTTACTCAAAGTGCGTGTAAGAAATCGAAAAAAAATATCAATCAGATCCATTCAAGTACCCTGTGACATTAATTTTATTTTTTAATAATAAAAAAATAAATTTTAACTTTTACATAAACGATACATTACAGTAAAAAAAAACTCTAAAATAAAAAATGTTTCATAAACATCTTACGTTTTTTACTATATTTTCACAAAAAAAACTCAGAAAACAATAGTCATCTTTTTTTATTTTATTCTTAAAAAAATATAAAAATGACGTTGTTGAAACTAGAGAATAAAAAAAATTATGAAAATAAAAATGAAAGAAAAAAATAAAAACCTCATGTTTCAATTATTTTAATTACAAATATCTTCAATTTTTTTTTTTTGAGACAAATAAGATTAGTATGGGCAACAAAATTTTTTCTCTGAATATTTAAAATAATTGCATTGAATATAATTTAAATTGTTTTTATCTAACTTAAATGTAAGACACTTGGTTAATTTAAGAAATTTATCATATATCATTTTTTTATTTGGAAGTGTGCTGGTACCAACGGTAAGTCTATTTACATTTTTTTTTCTCTTGTTTTATATTTTATTATCTATTTTTTGTTTAGATTTGGTTTATATTTAATTTTAAAATTTATATTTTATATTTTAGGATTTGTACTGGATAGGGCCTTACTCAGCCTTACTCATAGGAAAAGGTAACCGCCATTCGATTAATATAACCGAATATCCTCATCAGATTAAGAGGTAATTAGCTTGATTGATGATAATAACCAAAATATTATTTACTTTAAAGGGCCAAAATTAATTAAAAGGCCAAAATTAAGGATGACTCAAACCCATTAACCTATAATAAAGTCTATAAAAGAAAGGTAGGAAGCTTAGGTAAGGGAGATTTCTTGGCATATTATTAAAATAGTATTTGTTATTCAGAACCGATATCTGACATCAGCATCGGAGTGTCTTTTGCAGGTGGCCTCCCCACTTCAGCTACATATAAAAGGACATCATCACACCAGGGCAGAGATTAAAAGATCAGTGTTTTCCTAGCAGGAACATTTTGGCGCCCACCGTAGGGCACGAATAGCCTCGCTCTTTCAGTCATTATGGTACTAACAAGAAGCCAATAGGAGGGACAAAATCATCAAGGACGAACTTCTCGACAACAGAAAGATGTCACACCTAGTCAACTGATCCCAGAAACTTTGGCCGAAAAAGGTGAAGATGTAAGCCTCTCTTCTGTGGTGAGGCAACTCCAGGCCGAGATGAGGGAAATGCAACAAGCCAGAGAGAGAGAGATGCTCTTGAGATGTCAGCCTTAAGGAGGGAGAATGCTAACTTGAGGGAAGAAATTAAAACCCATACACCCTCTTAGACTACCCCATTCGCTCAAGAGCAGGGAGGGTCATTCGCATTGCAAGAAAAGCCAAGGAGAACTCAGGTTGAAATCCCTGCTGAACGGGATGAGACCTCGGGTCGAAGCCCTTTTATCTAGTGTATCCTGGAGGTCAAATTACCCGATAACTGGAGAGGTTTAACGTTAGAAAAGTATGATGGAACGACTGATCCAGGAGAACATTTGGATATTTTCATAACACAAGTTAGTTTGTATACAGAAAAAGAAGCCTTATGGTGCAGAATTTTCCCTACTTCTCTTCGGGGACTAGCTCTCAGCTGGTTCACCCGACTCCCCACTTCCTCCATTGACTCTTTTGTAATCCTTACACGGCGATTCAATCTACAGTTCGCCACAAGCCGCCCTCACCCCCTCACATCCCTAGCACTCGTCAATATTTGCCAGGAGAAAGGAGAAATACTTAGAGCGTTCATGGAACGCTTCGGCAAAGTAACGCTTTCAATCCATAATTTGGAACCAGCCGTGGCCATGCATCAGTTCACAACGACTCTCAGACCAGGTCCTTTTGTTAATAGCATATGTAATAAACCACCCATGGACTTGGATGAATTAAGGAGTCAGGCAGCCAAGTATATGCAAATGAAAGAGCTAACTGAATATCGGAACCAAGTCTGTATAGAAAGAAGGTCTAATCGGAGAGAGGCGAACAAAAGAGAAACCCTCAAGCCTCAACAGGAAAACAAAGTCAGGAGAAACGAGGTCGAGAGGCCATTTAGAGGCTCCAAGTATCCTTCATATACTATTCTCAACACCAACCGATCTAGGGTACTTGACCAAGCTCTCGCAACTGAAATATTGAGCATGCCAAGGTGTGCTAATACCCCCCTCGGGCAGACAAAAGCAAATTATGCCGATATCATCGAAATAGGGGCCATACCACAGAAGAATGCACGGCTCTCAAGGATAAAATTGAAGATCTGATCAAGGAAGGGCACCTTCGAGGGTTTGTACAAACAAGTCCCACGGGTTATGCTGAAAGAAGTAGAGATCGCTATCCCTCACCCTTGCGAAGATGTGAGGATAAACAGACCCAACGACAATGGAGCCAGTTAAGAGAACCTCCTGCGAGGCGATATGTGGAACAGGAGAAGTACCCAAAACAGGTTATTAACACCATAGCCGGTGGATTTGCAGGTGGAGGACCCACAAACTCGGCCAGAAAAAGACATCTGAGACAAATTCACTCAATCAACAACATATCGCTAGGTAGTAGAATTCAGATTCCCCCCATCACATTCAATGACAACGAATTTCAGGGGATAGATCCAGTGCAAGATGACCCCATGGTTATAAGTTTCGACGATATCCTCAACTGCACTGTCAGAAAAATGCTAATCGATCAGGGAAGCTCGGCCGATATCCTTTACTGGAACACATTCAGACAAATAGGGATACCAAAAGATGAACTCAGAGAGTATCACGAACCGCTGGTTGGTTTTTCTGGGGAACGGGTAGAAACCCGTGGTTGCATAGACCTGTACACATCGTTCGGGTCAAAAAATAAGGGAAAACGCATCAAGGTCACTTACTTAGTAGTCCATGCGAATACTTTGTACAACATACTACTCGGTCGGCCATCACTTAATAAATTGAAAGCCATAGTGTCTACTTCTCACTTGGCTATGAGGTTTCCATCAGAGAGGGGCCGAATCGTTACAGTCCATGATGACAAAAAAATAGCGAGAAAGTGTTATTTCGCAAGTCTACGCCTCAAACCATTATAAAACTATAGATGAGATGTCAATATTATATCCCCTCAGCCTGAAGAGGACTTGGAGATTGATCTGGATCCAAGGGTTGACGAGGGGTGTCGGATTGAGCCTAATGAAAATAAGCAGCCTTTCCAGCTTGGACCAAAGCCTGAACAAGTTACTTATCTAGGGTTCGACCTATCTGTACAAGAGAGGCAAGATTTTCAGAAAATATTGCAGCGTAACGCTGACTTGTTTGCCTGGTCGGCTTCTGACATGCCGGGCATCGACCCTGTATTTCTTTGTCACCACCTATCGGTTTATAAGGAGGCCAGACCGATAGCACAGAAGAAGAGGAAGATCGGTGGCGGCAGAGCGAAAGCAATGAAGGAGGAAACTGGTAAGCTGCTACGGGTCAACTTTATCCGAGAGGTTAGATATTCCACTTGGTTGGCCAATGTGATCATGGTTAAAAAAGCAAATGGTAAATGGCGAATGTGCACAGACTTCACGGACCACAACAAGGCATGCCCGAAGGACGCATATCCCCTACCAAATATTTGATACCCTAGTGGACAGAGCAACCGGCCACAGGATACTCAATTTTTTGGATGCTTACTCTGGGTACAATCAAATCCAGATGTATCCCCCAGATGAAGAGAAGATGACATTCATCATGGACTCGGCAAATTTTTGTTATCGAGTAATGCCATTCAGCCTGAAGAATGCAAGGGCAACGTATCAGAGGCTGATGAATAGAATTTTTGAAAGACAAGTGGAAAAATGCATGGAAGTATATGTAGATGACATGGTAGTTAAATCTACTACCTCAGAACAACATCTTACTCATTTAACGGAGGTATTATGGTAGGCCAGGAAACATAGGATACGGTTCAACCTTGAAAAGTATACATTCGGGGTAGCCAGTGGCAAGTTCCTGGGGTTTATGTTATCCGAAAGGGGAATCCAGGCGAACCTGGATAAGTGCCAAGCCGTCATCGAAATGATCAGTCCTCAGAATGTCAAGGAGGTCCAAAGACTTGCTAGTCATATTGCTGCCCTAGCCAGATTTTTGCCCATAATGGCAGACAGGTCTCGACCTTTCATTAACCTACTTAGAAAATCCCAAAAATTTACTTGGACGGACGAATGTGAAGCAGCCTTCATCCAATATAAAAAAATTCTAGCGACACCACATGTGTTGACAAAACGTAAGCCCGAAAAGGATATGATTATTTATTTGGCTGTGTCAGATAATGCCATTAGTTCGGTCTTACTGCAAGAAACACCTGAGCCGGCCCCTATATACTTCATCAGCCGAACACTCCAAGGCCCCAAATCACGCTATCAGTTAATGGAAAAAGTGGTATTGGCTCTAGTCCACACAGCTCGTCAGTTAAGACATTACTTCTAAAGTCATCGGGTGGTGGTACGTACAGATTGTCCAATGGCCAAAATTTTGAGAAAACCAGAGTTAGCTGAGCGGTTAGTGGCATGGACAATTGAACTATCCCAGTTTGATATCCACTTTGAAACTCGACGTCTCCTTAAAGTTTAGGTGCTGGTAGATTTCGTCAATGAGTTCATCACCCAGCAGTAGACCAGCATAGAGATATGGGACCTACATGTAGACGGTTCGTCAAACTGACAAGGCTGTGGAGCAGGAATAATACTACAAGGACCGAATACCGTAATGATTGAGCAATCCATTCGGTTTGGATTCAAAGTATCCAATAATCAGTTTGAGTATGAGGCACTGCTGGCCAGCCTCAAGCTGGCAAAGAAAATGGGAGTCAAACGCATAATGTGTTAGAGTGATTCTAAGGTAGTCGCTGAACAGATCAATGGCACTTTCTAGGTGAAGGACTCGATTATGCTCCGATACTACCAAGAATTCAAGAGTATACAAGAGGAGTTTAATGAGGTACATGTTCGTTATACACCTAGGACTATGAATGAATAGGCCGATAAGCTTGCTAAATTGGCGAGCCAAAGGAAACCAGGGCAATTACAAAGCGTCATTCATCAGGAGATCCATCAACCTAGTATTACTAAACAAGAATGTATGGACATAGAGAATATACCTCAGAATTGGATGACTCCAATCGTCTAATATCTGACCGACAACAGCCTGCCAAATGATCCAGCCCGGCTAGGAAAATAAGAATGCAAGCAGCCAAATATACCATCCTCGGCAAAGACTTGTAGAAGAGGAATTTCAACACCCATGTTGAAATGCCTTGATGAGGATCAGGCCAGTTATGTAATGAGAGAAATTCACGAAGGCATCTGTCGGACCTACTCAGGTGGATGAACTATGGCAGCCAAAATTTTGAGAGCCGGATACTTCTGGCTGACACTATCCAAAGACTGCAACATCTTTGTAAAGAAATGTATTCCTTGTCAGCAACACGATCCTCACATACATAAACACGCCGACACCCTCCATCCAATCAGTGCTCCCTGGCCTTTTGCCATTTGGGGAATGGACCTTCTCAGTCCTTTTCCCCTAGCAAATGGACAGTACAAATTCCTGATTGTTGTCGTAGCAGAGCTACTCACCACCATCACGACTAACAACGTCCAAAAAATTCACCTAGAAAAATATTATCACACATTTCGGTCTCCCTCACGCCCTGATCACCGATAACGGGCTACAATTCACATATCAACGGTTCAATGAGTTCTTAGAATGGTTGCATATCAAACACAGGTTACATCTGTGGAACATCCTCAATCCAATGGACAAGCAGAGGCTGCAAACAAGGTCATTTTACATGAACTCAGGAGACAATTAGGTTCGGCGAAGGGGGAATGGGCCGAAAAGCTGCCCGAGATCTTATGGGCTTATCTGTGTACGCCACAGACAGCCACAAAAGAAACACCTTTCCGGATGATCTATGGTACTGATGCCATGGTGCTGGTTGAAATTGGAGAGCCATCATTTCGAAGACAACAATTCAATGAATCAGCAAATGACAAATCCCTTGCAGTTAATCTAGATTTACTGGATGAAGTACGTGGTCAAGCAGCAATAGTCGCCGAAGCTACCAAAAGGATTATGGCAAGGAAGTTCAACTCAAAAATTCATCCAAGACAATTCTACGTTGATGACTTGGTGTGGCGAATAATAGGGGAAACATGTCGGGACAGGCGAGAAGGAAAATTAGCTGCTAATTAGGAAGGCCCCTTTCAGATAATGGAGCGGCTTGACAACGGGTCATACAGGCTGAAGACACTAGAAGGAAAACTGATACCGAGGACTTGGAACAACACACATTTAAAGCATTATTTTAGTTAAACATGTAATATATATTCAGTGCACTCTTTTCCTCACCCAGGGTTTGTCCTCTTAAAAGAATATGAAAAGGGATTTTCCTGATAAGGTTTTTAACGAGGCACATTATCAATAAAATATCTCTTCTATACCTACTCGGTTATCTTGATTTATTTATCACATTCCCTCCCAAGTACCACTACTTGGCTAAGGATGAATTATTTATCATACCCTCTCGAGTACTCCTACTCGGCCAAGGATGACTTATCTACCACATTCCCTCCCGAGTACTCCTACCCGGCTAAGGATGATTTATCACATTCCCTTCCGAGTACTCCTACTAAACAAAGGATGAATTATTTATCACATTCCCTCCCGAGTACTCCTACTCGGCTAAGGATGACTTATCTACCACATTCCCTCCCGAGTACTCCAAATCGGCTAAGGAATTATTTATCACATTTTCGCCCGAGTACCCCTACTCAGTCCAGGTTGTTAAGAACCCCCCAGTACTTAGCGAAGATCGAATCAATTAATTCATTCCCGAATATTCCTACTAGGTAAAAGGAGAATACATTATTAACTCCCATACACTTGTATGCCAACGAAGAATTGCGTACCCCTATACTGAGTACCCCTACTCGGTCAACTATCACTTATTCGAACATATCGTTATCAGTTAATCAGTTAATCACTTAAACTTGATGGGTTGACGTCAGTGTTGATCATACACATTACTAGTCGGCTCACAACAAGACAATTTAAGAAAACATTAGTGTTGTTCACACAAACATTACTAGTCAGATCACAACAAGAAAACATTAATATTCATTTGTTGATGAGCATTACAAAAAATTAGGCACTATCGGGCACAAAAAAAAAAAAAAAATATAGCCCCCCTTCGGCGCCCTGATAAGGCGGGGCACCCTCTTCACCAGGGTTCATGAGTTGGCTTAGGGCTAAGGCGTCGAGTTCTACCTCCTCATCCACTTCATCATAAGGTAGGAACTTCGCATCAAAGAAGTCTCGCGTCAGGTCGAAACTGAAGCTTGAGGGAATCTGGCAGAACTCAACAGCTTGGCGGACAACATGATTAAAACTGGCTTCGTGCTCGGCAACGATTTTTATGTTACACTCGTCGGTTAGTGCCTTCAGCTCGATTTCAGACTTTTGCTTCTCCCTGTCCACTTCCAAGCCCTTCGCCTCCAACTCCGAACTCTTTGCCTTCAGTTTGGAGTCTTTCGCCTCCAGCGTCTCCTTGGCCACACGCATACGGTTACCCATGACATAGAAGTGCTCTTTCAGCTGAGCAACTTCCTCCTCCAGGGACTTATTGGTCTCGACCAAACTTGATCGAACCTCCTCACTTTGGGCAAGAGCCTGTTCGGACGAGACGAGTCGGCCTTGGACCCTTTCCAACTCTTGTAGGGGCTCCAATGCAAAGCTGCGTACCATCGCCATGGCCCGCGCCTAGAACTCGCAATACCATTGCCAACGAGTCCTGTGGGCTTGCATATTTATAAGTACTCGTGCCGACTCTGACAACGAATCCAGACACACCATTCGGTTAACTCGGAAACCTTCAGCAAAGAACGATTCTAGTATAGTGTCAGTTGGCAGGACGGTGGGGGCAGAGGAACCTTCCCAGCCACTTGACCCAGCGTCACGAGCATGCTTGGGTCTTTTCTCCTTCTCTACCTCCTTCTCCTTGCCTTTGTCTTTTCTTTTCTTTGCTCGACCTTCGGCAAGAGGAGGGTCTTGTGGTGGAGAACGAGCTTCAGTTACGGGGGGGGGGGGGGGCAACTGATCTATTACTGGGTGTCAGTGAACACGAGTTGGAGTACCTTTGGGAGCCTTCAGCTTAAGACCATGCCGATAACCCAATATGGCTCCTCTTTGTGCCATTAACCCTGTAGTACAAACAAGACTAGTCAATACAAACCAACGCTCATGCGCAACAGAAACAAATATATGAAACATCTGACAACTCCTTAGCCGACAACATCTCCTTGGGATAAACGTCATAACGACGAGGTACCCGGATCCAATGGAAAGGAAAGAGGGGCCAGTTTTCCTTGTCAAAAAAATATTTTTTACCTATAAGGTTCACGGTTACCTTAAAGTAACCGATTTTGAAACCCTTAAAGGATGTAGTATAAGGTTTGAATAGGGGCAACCGGCCTGCCTTATTAAAGACACCCACTTTGCCTTATCAGATGGACGCGTACAGAAAAAAATGCAAAAATAAACCTACCATAGGTTCTATGTAATGAAATTTATAAAGGACCCTGAACGCTTGCATAGGCGCCCACCCATTCGGATGCAGTTGAGTAGGTGCAACGTTCAGCACCCTTAACACACCCGTTTGGAAGTTGTCAAAAGGGAGTCTAACACCTAACTCCCTGAACATATACTCGTATACATAAAAGGTGTCAACCCCTTCAACCTCTTTCCCTAAAAATACAAAGTTTGGGTGATCGGTCCCATCGCCCTGACAGGTGTTTATTGCTATAGGATACAGATCTGAACCCTCCCACAAGGATATGTCACAGTTATCTACAAAGGTTTGCAGACATTTATTCCTTTGGAAACGAGAAAAGTAGGCGGTCACTTCACCATGCACCCATTCATATCCAGGTACGGAACATGGGGGAAAGACAGGTCTTTCTCTTGGGGGGCTTGCGTTCGGTAGAGGTTCATCTGACTCAGCACCTGCTTGGGATGATTCGGCTTTGCCCTCATCCTCCCTTATATTAACCTCAGAACTATCCCTATTTGGTCGTGCAGAAACTTCTTCAAACCTATCATTTGTGAGGCTTTTGTCCTCGGCAGAAGTAGTTGGCCTCACAAGATCCGACAGGGAGTCCTCCCACACAATTGAACTAGCCATGACGATAACAGAAAAAGAGGAATGAGAGAAGCAAAGCGTACCTTTCAGTTTGAAGAAATAACTATGCAAAAGCGAAAAAGGTAATGCACAAAAGGTACTCTTTGGTGTAGAGTAAAAGTATCTGAATGGAGGGATGGTCCATCACGTATTTATAGAATCCAGGGTTTCGGGCAAGCAAAAGGTCACACCTTCTCTGAACCGTTAGATCTTCCTCAGATCTGACGACTAGAATCACGTACCCCTTCGT